TGACCTCGTGATCCGCCTGCCTCGGCCTCCAAAAGTGCTGGGATTACAGGCGTGAGCCACCGCGCCCAGCCTTTTTTCTTTAAAAAAATTTTTTTAATTTATTATTTATTCATTATTTATTTATTTATTTTTTAAAGATGGGGTTTCACCATGTTGGTCAGGCTGGTCTTGAACTTCTGACCTCAGGTGATCCACCCGCCCTGGCCTCCAAAGTGCTTGGATTACAGGTTTGAGCCATCACGCCCGGCCTTGTTTTTTTTTTTTGAGACAGAGTGTCTCTCTGTCTCTCAGGCTAGAGTGTAGAGTGCAGTGGCACAAACTTGGCTCATTGCAACTTCTGCCACCTGGTGCAAATGATTCTCTTGCCTCAGCCTCCTGAGCAGCTGGGATTACAGGTATGTGCCATCATGCCCAGCTAATTTTGTATTTTTAGTAGAGATGGGGTTTTACCATGTTGGCCAGGATGGTCTAGAACTCCTGACCTCAGGTCATCCACCCACCTCAGTCTCCCAAACTGCTGGGATTACAGGCGTAAGCCACCGCACCCACCCTGGAATCCTGATTTGAACAAACTGTACAAGAAATAATGTAAAACAGTTAGGGGAATTTGAACTGACTAGGTATTTAATTCTACCTAGGAATTAGAAAGGTTTTTAGATGTGATAATTGTATGTCGTTACGCGTAATAAAATCCTTATGTTTTCACAATACATACTGAAATGTAGAAAGATAAAGTGATATGATGCCTGAGATTTGATTCCAAATAATCCACTTGTAAAGTGGAAGGGAGCTAGGTGTAGGTAAAACACAATTGACTGTGAACTGGTGAAGTTGAGTGATGATATGGGAGTTCATGATATCAAAATAAAAAGAAATATTTAAAAAAAAGCTTGGCTGGGTGTGGTAGACACATGCCTGTAATCCTAGCACTTTGCAAGGCTGAGGTAGGAGTATGGCTTGAGCCCAAGAGTTCTAGACCAGTGTGGGTAACATAGTGAGACCCATTCGCTACAAAAAATTTTAAAATTAGCCAGGTGCAGTGGGGCACACCTGTAGTCCCAGCTACTTATGAGGCTGAGGTGGGAGGATTGCTTGAGCCTGTGAGTTCAAGGCTGTAGTGAGCCATGATCGCACCACTGCATTCCAGCCTGGGTAATAAGCAAGATCCAGTCTCAAAAAGAAAAAATAGGAAGCTCAGTCAAGCTCAGGTTTTCTCTGACCTCTATAACTTGGTCAGTTTATGTTGTTGGTCATTGTCTGGAAATCATGCAATGGCCTTTGTCAAGAGCACAACATTTTTAACCTCCTACCATCTAAAATTTCCAGAATCTCTTTCTCCCTCTGTTTTTTTTTTTGTGAGAGTCTGTGTGTGTGTGTGTGTGTGTGTGTGTGTGTGTGTGTGTGTTTCGCCTTTTGCAACGGTGGTGCCCCTTTGCTAACATTGTAGATTTAGTAAATAAAAATAGAAGACGCCCACTTAAAATTTCAGATAAACAATTACTACTTTGTTAATACATATATGTCCCCTGCAATATTTGGTGAGAAGCCATGTAATATTTGGGACATACTTACATTTAAAATGTATTTGTTGTTTATCTAAGATTAAATGTAACCAGGCATCCCATATTTAATCTAGCAACCTACCTTTTGGATGTGGAGAATCTTTTGGATTTGGAGAATGTTCGTTTAGCCCATCATAACTGTAAACTCTCCTAATCTCTTAGCCTTTCTTTCTAAATCACATCTTATCACTCTGCCCTCACAGGCAGCAATCTTTCTGAGTTTCTCTAACATGTAGGTTGACCTTTTGGCTCCTTTGCTTTTACTTTCTGGAGGCAGAGATTTGAACTGTGTCCACAGTATTAGGGGTATAGGGAATTCAACATGGCGCCCTGAGCTTTTGTAAATGTTATATACTTTAATCCCCACAATCACCTCCTTTTTATAGATGAGGAAGTAGAGGCTCAGAATAACTTGTTTAAGTCACCCAGTTGGTAGGTGGATCCAAGTCTGGATCTTTCTGTGTGAAAATCCAGGTCCTTTCCCCTAGACTTGGGCATGGAGCCCAGTGTGGGTCTGTATTATAACTGTTTCACCAAATCTCTTCCCATGTACAGTACTCACTTGAAATCTCCCGATCTCTGCTTTGTATCTCATTGCTGAGGAGTTTACCACCTGCAAGGAAATTCCTGGAAATATTTTAATTATTCACAATCCCAATTTCCCTCAACTCCTGTAAGAGGAATAGCAAAGGCCCATCCAGGATCTCTCAATGTCTTGAATGCTTCCTAATGGCTGACACTTGCAGATGGGTTTTCTCATTTAACTCTCAGAGGCACCCTGTGATGTCCAGACTTTTAGTTCCATTTTACTGATGAGGAAATTGATCAGAGAGGACAATTTCCTTGCCCCAAGTCAACCCAAAGCAAGGTGTTGCACTTATCCATTACTTGCTCTCCTGGTTGTTTCTTCTGTGCCTTTGTTCCAAGAACATGTAAACTCTTCAAAAGAAGAGGCCTCTTTGTTCTCCTTAGCCCTGTGCTGGGCACACAGTAGGCACTTGATAACCACATGTTCACCATTGTTACTGGGCTCCCTCTGGTTAAGGAATAGAGTATTCCACTTGGAGGGGCCTTTGGTGGCTTGAGAATCCTGGCATATGGGAAGGGGCAGCCTTGTTCACCTTGGCACCCAGTTCAGGGCCTGGCAGTTGGGACTCTGTAACATTTGTTGAATGAATGAGGAATCTGTGTGCCAAGGGTTGAAGAAAGTGATGGGGGTCAGAAGACAATTTGAAGTGACCCTGGCTCTAAGGCTGGAAGTTGCAATGGTTCCCAGTATTGAAGTGGGACAAGAAGCACTTTGCTGGGGACCAGTTTGGCTCCTCACCTGGAGTAAGATGGTCTCATCAAAGAACTTTGCAGGAACCTCGTGAAAATTCTGGAAGAAGATCTGAGGCAGAAAGAATTGGGGTAGAGTGGATGATTTCTTCCACCACTTCACACAAGCACTCAGTAAACCTGAAAGCTCAGAATAATGTGCTTCTTCCCACAACTTTACCCTCTTAATGGCTTTATAAGTACAGGTTAAGTATTCCTAATCCAAAAATCTGAAATCCAAAATGCTCCAAAATCTGAAACTTTCTGAGTGCCAAAATGACCCTCAAAGGAAATGCTCACTGGAGCATTCTGGGTTTCAGCTTTTCATATTATGAATGCTGAACTGGTATAATGCAAATATTCCAGAATCCAAAAAAAATCTGAAATCGAAGACACTTCTGATACCAAGCATTTTGGGTAAGGGATGCTCAACTTGTGCCACTACTACTCTTACACTTCAGAAGCAGAGGCCTCCTGAGCTCCTGGAGGGTTTTATTTATTTATTTATTTTTTGAGATGGAGTCTTGCTCTGTCACCCAGGCTGGAGTGCAGTGATGTGATCTCAGCTCACTGCAACCTCCACCTCCCAGGTTCAAATAATTCTCCTGCCTCAGCTTCCTGAATAGATGGGATTACAGGCACTTGCCATCACGCCTGGCTAATTTTTGTATTTTTACAAAAGAGACAGGGTTTTGCCATATTGTTTAGGCTGGTCTCAAACTCCAGACCTCAGGTGATCCAGCCACCAGGGCCTCCCAAAGTGCTAAAAATTACAGGTGTGAGCCACCGTGCCCAGCCTTCTGGAGAGTTTTCTGCCCAGAATGGGGAAGGTTAGGAGATGCCTGGAGAACTCAGGGCCTAGCTAGCTGCCCAGGATGGAGATTTTAGCTCACATCTCCTTCTAGATTGCCCTGCCAGTCCACTCTGTCTCTGCTCTCCATGGCAGCCAGAAACCCTTTCCCCAAATGCAAACCTAGGCTTGTCACTCCCCTGCTTAAGTCCTCCATGGTTCCTAAGTGCTGTCCAGGATGGGACCCCAGCCCACACTGTAGGCTCCCCTCCAACCAGTCTCCTCCAGCTACACACATAGCTATAGTTCTGCTGTCAAGTCTGTGGCTTGCTTGCTTCTAGGGCTTTGAAAACACTGTCACTTTTTCCTGAATTATCTTTTCCCATCCTGTCTTTTCCTGGTAAAATCTTCCTTCAGAGTTGCTGAAGCCCTTCTGAGTCCTCTCCACCACCCCCAGCCTCATTACTCACTTACTCCTCCTGGCTTCCACTCTGCTTTTATCTTTTATTTGTTCCTTTACTAGTTAATTCAGCAAGTATTTATGGAGCACCTACTGTGTATCAGACAGTGCTACAATTTGAGGCTCCAGCAGCAATGGGATGTATGTGGTCTGAGTCTGTGCTTCAAGATTCCAATAACAATGCCCCCAAACCTCTATCAACCACTATCTGCTCCACTGTAATTGTTTATGGGTTCATGAGCTATGCCCCCACCAGCCCACCAGCTCCTCAGATGCAGGGCTCTGAATTATTCTGTTCTGTATTTTCAGTGCTTGGCCCTCAGTAAATGCTTGTGGAACAAACACATGAAGATACCCTAGTCAAGGAGCAAGTTTGCCAGCTGCCAGCTGAGAATGCCCAGCCCTTGGCTGGCTCCTTGCCTGATGTGCCCTGTTCAGCCCACCTCGTTAAAGAAAGGGTTGTTTCCCATCTTGATACGTGTCTGGTGCTTCTGGCCTCCAATGGACACCCTCACCACTGGTTTGATGTTGTTGCCCATGAGCTGTCGGGCTTCAAACACCTTTACTCGAACCTAAGAGGAGAACACATGGGGAGCTGATATTGAAGGCCTTGGCCCCACCTTCTCCAGCTGGGACAACATTGTTCTGATAAGAAAACGTTCCAGGTGAGGTGCAGTGAGTGGCTCATGCCTGTAATCACAGCACATTGGGAGGCTGAGGTGGGAGGATTACCTGAGCCCAGGAGTTTGAGACCAGATTGACTGGGCAATATGACAAAACCCCGTCTCTACAAAAAATACACAAAAATTAGCTGGGCATAGTGGTGCATGCCTATAGTCCCAACTACTTGGGAGGCTGAGGTAGGAGGATCACCTGAGCCCCGAAGTCTAGACTGTCAGCTGTGATCATGCCACTGCACTCCAGCCTGGGCAACAGAGCAAGACTCAGTCTCAAAAAAAAAAAAAAAGAAAGAAAGAAAATGAAAGAAAACATTCTAGCTCTAGCCACAGTGAAGAGAGACAATCCACTGGAGAAGGCTAGGAGGAGATGGATTTAGAGAGATAGACGGGTTATTTAGGGCCCGGAAGCCATTGTAAAAGGAACTGGATCTTGTGCGGAGGACACGGGGCTCTAGACCCTTTAGCTTCCAGGGACCCTCGCCTGGTCACATTCCTTCTGGGGCTTTTGAAGAAGGTGCTTGGCATGATAAGAGTGACATGTTTGGCCGGTCGAGGTGGCTCACGCCTGTAATCCCAGTACTTTGGGAGGCTGAGGTGGGTGGTTCATGAGATCTGGAGTTGGAGACCAGCCTGACCAACATGGTGAAACCCCATGACCGTCTCCACTAAAAATACAAAAATTAGCTAGGCATGGTGGTGTGCACCTGTAATCCCAGCTACTCAGGAGGCTGAGGCAGGAGAATCACTTGAACCTGGGAGGGGAGGTTGCGGTGGGCCAAGATCATACCACTGCACTCCAGCCTGGGCGATAGAGCAAGACTCTGCCTCAAAAAAACAAAACAAAAGAGTGACATTTTTGAAAGGCCACTTTGGTTGAAGAAAGGTCAGAGAGAGCTGGAGGCTGGGAGTTCAGAAGAAGGCTACTGATGTGGTCCAGGGAATGGATGGTGGTGGCTCAGGCCAGGGAACGGAAGTGATGAGGGAGAAATGGGAGCAGCTGGGTGATGTTAAGAGCTAGGACTTGGCCACTGCCTGGATGCAGGAAGAGGAGCAGTCCGGGAGACTCCTAGCCTCCTGGGCAAGGAGCAGGCTGGGGAGCAGGTAAAACCATGGCAGGAATGTTAGGCCTCAGGCTAGAAGCCAGAGGGAAGTTGATAAGCTGTGGGATGAGGGTTCCTGAATTCACATGGAAATGTGGACCTTCCCATAGGTCCCCTCGGATCAGACAGTCCCCAGCCTCTCCTGTGCAGTTAATTTAACTTTGTCTGTGCCCCACTTTGTGTTGCCAACAACCCGAGGGCTCTGGGAGGGTAGGATCCCTGTCATCTGCGCTGCTTTCCTAGCAGGTACCAGGGCCTGCCAGTGCACAGCTGACCCTCCTACTGCCTCACTGGAGTTATGTGGCTTCAGCTACAGGCAGAAGTTTCCAGAATGGCCATGGGAGGAGCAGGAGATATGGCGAGGATCTGAGGGCCTGAAGCTGGGTCTGAAGCTCTGCCCTTCTACCATGACCTTGGGAAGGGGTGAGGATGACCTGGGAACACAGCAAACAAGGGTGTCAGGTGGGTCACATTAATTTGCAACCTGGAGGGTCCTCACCTGAAAGTGCTGAGGCTTTGAGGACAGAGCCCGGTGCACGGTGGAGCCAGGGACCATCAGTTTCTGCCTGGCCGTCTCTCTTGCTGTTATGCCCAGGAGGTCTTCAGCTCCTGGAGAGACACAGTCCAGGGTGGGCTCAGAGGCCTGGGGCCCAGGAGGTCTAAGGCATTTTCCCCATTCCATCATTCTGTCCCAGTGACCATCTCCTGACTAAAAGCGTGACCAAGAGGCCCCAACAGGGACACATGTCCTCCCCAGAACATTGCCATGGGCCCCTCCACCCTTAGGAACTATAGATCCCTGGACCCCACTGCACACACTGGGGCTCTTGGAGATGACCATCCTCATCTCTCTGCAGCCTCTTTGAGACTTATGTTTTATATCTTACAGGTCTTATGTCTAGAGATGATGAATGGGCATATTGGGATGTCCTCAGCCAGATGTTTGGAGATCTGGCCTCTAGACCCTTTAGCTTCCACGGACCCTCGCCTGGTCACATTCCTTCTGTAGGCCTCAAGGACTGAGTCTTGAAGGTCCCCAAGAACCCATCCAGCTGTGCATGGAGCAGGGCAGGGTAAGCCCTTAAGGGTAAGCTCCAGGGAAGGACATACCTGTTTTCTCAATATCCTGGTTGCTTATGTAGGCCACCTGTAGGGTGACGGTACACTGCAAGACAAAGGCAGGGGAGCTGTAAGCCAGACTCTGCCATCCTTGGACAGAGCACTCAAGCCCTGTGCAGCCTGGTTGGGTTCACATCTGGTCCTTCTGGTGTGGGGCCTGATGCTAGCTATGGGATGGGGCCACACTATTTGGCCTCTGCACAGTCTGGGTGGAGGGAGGTTATAAATGGGTGAGAAGAGAGCAATGGGTTACAGTGGAGGCGATGTTTGCTGAATAAAGCAGCCACAAGGTGATGATGGTGGCAGAAGAGGATGCAGAAGGATGGGGAGGAGAGGAAGAGGTGACTTGAGCCCAGAACACAGATGCTAGCAGCTCTTCCCCTAGCCCAGCATCTCATGAGCTCATGTGGGAGCCCCTGTACCCTCCTGCCTTCTAACTGAGCTTCTTCCTTCATGTGCTCCCATTACCCACCCAGCCTCCAGACCCTTAAGTGTCTAAATGATCAAAGTTAAGTCACAATTCACCAGCATGGACCACAAGGCCTTTCACCTCTAGCCCACACAGCCCACACAGCCTCAGCTCTCCCACCCCTACTCCTACCCCCACCATGTGCCAACAGTACAGCACAACCTCCCTCACCCTGCCTCCTGCTCCACCCACTTTATGCCCCTGCTGGGCTGGTCTTCCTCTCCTGTCCATTGGGAAGACTCATGCCCCTCCTTACAACTCAACTGACAGACTGAAAGCTCCTTGCCTGATAAACCACACAATATCGTTGACCGTGAGTCAACAGTTTTGAGTCACAGCCTATCTGTATACAAATGGACAATGGCCAAACTACATATAAAATAAGACTCAGGCTAGGCGTGGTGGCTCACGCCTGTAATTCCAGCACTTTGGGAGGCTGAGGCGGGTGGATCACCTGAGGTTGGGAGTTCGAGACCAGCTTGACTAACATGGAGAAACCCTGGTTTCTACTAAAACTACAAAATTAGCTGAGTATGATGGTGCATGCCTGTAATCCCAGCTACTCAGGAGGCTAAGGCAGGAGAATTGCTTGAACCTGGGAGGCGGAGGTTGTGGTGAACCAAGATCGTGCCACTGCACTCCAGCCTGGGCAACAAGAGCAAAACTCTGTCTCAAAAACAAAACAAAACAAAACAAAACAATTCAGATCCACACTAGTTCTTTTCTTGATATCTGCAGAAACCAGCCCAGGAAATCAACCTGTTATCTACAGTAACCAGCCTAGGAAGCAAACCTGCTCCGAGTCAGACTGGTAGGAGGTCAGACTACTGTCTCTAGCAATAATCCAGGAAGCCAAACAATAATGATCAGCTCCAAATGGCCAGGACCTGATTAATAACTGACAGCTCCCTTAATTTTTGTTCCCACTTCCAACTTAGGACCAATTAGAGAGAGCCAAACATGCCCCTCTAACTGATCACATGGGAGGCCCCATTTCTAGTTAGCCTGCCTTGGGCTTCCCCATAGCCTCCAATCAGGGCACGCATGCAGCCTTCCCTTCTTTCCACTATGAAGCTCTTCCACTCCCCTGCCTGCCTCTGAGACTCTGCCAAAACACAAATGATGATAGCCAAGTCCCTTGCTAGCACAAGCTCTGAATAAATTAGCCTTTACTTGTTCTCATTTGGGTGGTCTTCCTACACTTCCATATGTCTTAAACATCACCCTCTCTGTAAAGCTGTCCATGACGTTCTGAGAGGAATCTTTCGCTCCCTCCTGCCAGTGGCCTTGCTTTACTGAACCTTGTCCCATGTGTGCTGGAGCGCCTGCCACTGGGAGTGGAGCCTACTCTAACAGACTGTGGGCTTCAGGCTGTTTTGTACCATAGGGCCTAGCACAGTGCTTGACTCCCTGTGGAAGGCGATCAATTCATCTGCTGATGACAGCAAGAGTGGGGGTCAGGAGAGGAAGGCAGCGTGATGGGGGGCCAGGGCAGGAAGCACTCTCGTGGTGTGGGGCATTTCACCAGCTACCCCCATTCCTCCAGCCACCATGCCTGGGCCTTCCTGGGCCTGACTCACATCTGTGGGCTTCATAGAATGGTTGAGCAGGGTCAAGTCCTTCACAAAAGGGACCTCACTTGGTTGTTTCAACAATGGCTTGAGCAGTACTGTGGCTAGGCCAATGAACCTGGGGAGACAAGGAGCAGGTGTGAGACATGAGCCAGGGGAAAGGGTGTCCTCCTCTCTCCCAGGCAGGGCTTTAGTTAGAGACAGTTTCCTACCAGGCGTGTGCTGTCCTCAGAGAGAGAGGCTGGAGAAGAATGTAGTGGGGCTGGGCATCCACCACAGGGCCCAGGGCTCCTGGCTCTGGGAACTGTCTTGGGGCTTCTAGGCAAGTAACAGTTGATAGGACCAGGGGTGGTCACCTGGCTAGAGCTGGGCCAAAAGGATTCTTTGTCCTAGGAATTTTGACCTGGGATGGCATAGCCTCATTTTCAGGGCATGTGAGTCTCAACTGGGCACTAGAAGAGACTGTGATAAGAAGCCAGGGTTGGGTAAAGAGAAGCAGAAATTTGAGATCTGTGGCTTCGGATGGACAGAGCTGCTGCTGGGTTCCCAAGTTCCTGTCCCAGCTGATTTGCAGTCTTGCCTTGGCTACCCTTTTAGTACTACCCCTCTTTTTTTCCCTTTAGCTGGCTGGAGTGGGTTCCGGTCATTCATCTGAGTGAGTTATGGATTAGAGACAAGGGTCACATAACATGCTGCTGTGTTGGGCAGGAGCTAGGCTCCTCCTGACTCTCTCTGCCTCACCTTTCTTTCTTTTGTGAGCCCATGTCCTGAAGCATGACTTGCAGGAAGGAGTCATTTTCCAGGGGGCGGTTCCAGAGGTGCCAGATTAGGGTCTGTGGGGGGCATAGAGAGGTCAGCATCTTTCCTCTGCCCTTCCCATCCCATGTTTCCAGAAAATGAGGAAAGACATGGGGAATGGACTGGCACTGCGTTTCTCTAAGACTGAGGAACCTCCCTCATGTCTAATTTCCTCAGGAGATGGCGTTCGCTACTTTTCACCAAGGAGTGGGCATCCCACCTGGGTTTCTGTGACTTGAACTGCAGTATCATGGGCATGTTGGGAATTAAGGGTTTGGGGACTGGGAATCGGGCGAGGGGTAGCATGGAGGGATGGCAGATCAGGAGTCCTGCACAGGGAGCCTTCACTCTGCTTTAGGCTTCTAGGAACATCAAGATAGCCCAGTTGGACTAGATGATAGGCCATACCATGGTCCATCCCCAGGATGGGGGAGAAGGGCCAAGAACAGTTGTGGGCAGGTGTGGCCATCACAGCCTTGTTGGGTCAGAGGCTACTACCCCAGGCCAAGATCCCCAGCCTTGAGGAAAGCCTTTGAGGCTGACTGTCCTCTCCCTAGACCTCCAAGTAGCTGCCTGGACCCCATCCCTGCCCCCTTGCTGTTGGAGTTGTCATTTCTTCTTCTGGGCTTGCCCTTGTGTCTACCTCATTCCACACGGGTTCATTCCCTTCCACCACGCTAGTTCTTTTCTTGACATCTGCAAAGAAACCAAGGGACTGGCATTGATGGTAGGAAATATTTCAATGTCTGGGTTGGAGTGGGGTAAAGAGAAGTAGGACACTCTAAGAAAACTTCAAGTCCACATTGGCAGGTGTGATATCGTATCACTTCTTCCTTTCTTGGGGGGGGTTCAAAATTTCTTGATTTTATCCCTGTGTGACAGATAATGCTATATGTTCATTTCATTTTCTTTCTTTGTTTTTCTTTTTCTTTCTTTTTTTTTTTTTTTTTTTTTTTTGTTAGATGAGGTCTCACTCTGTCACCCAGGCTGGAGTACAGTGGCATGATCTGGGCTCAATGTAACCTCTGTCTCCTAGGCTCAAGCCATCCTCCCACCTCCCAAGGAGCTTGGACTACAGGCCAACATGCCTGGCTAAATTTTGTATTTTTTGTAGAGACAGGGTTTTACCATGTCACCCAAGACAGTCTCAAACTCCTGGACTCAAGCAATCTGCCCGCCTCAGCCTCCCAAATTGTTGGCATTACAGGCAAAAGCCACCATGCCTGGCCCATTTCATTTTCTTCCAGAGTATTAGTTTTCAGTGTCTTGCAGCTAAGTCGGGCTGCGTGACTTACTCTGATGAATGGGGTGTGGCTATATTTGCCACTGCCCGGTCTGGTTCTTAATTTCCATGAGATTCTTCATTCTCCTCTCTCCTCTCCCCACAGCCACCCTCGTGACCTGCTGACTTTGCAGCCACAAGGGGTAAGTGGCTGGCTAGTCCTTAAACTATCATTTGTAGGAACTACCTAGGAGAGCTGTCTGACCAGTACCATCCACGCAGGACTTGGTGTAAGAAAGAGGTGAACTTTCATTGTTAAGCCACTGAAACCTAAGGGTTTATTTATTGCCAGAGCAAAGCCCAGTGTACCCTAACAAAGACATTCTGAAACATCCATAACAGGTTAAAACTCCTCCAAATAGTGAGAAGCGGAGCAGGTTAGTGGATGGCATATGAGGGAAAAGGCTGGGAAGGACAAAAGGAATACAAAGTATCAAACATAAACATGTAATCGTAAGAATCTCTAGGTGAAACCAGGGTTCTGGGTTTTCGATATCTTTGTGGGAGATATTTCTGGAATGAGAAAGATGGTGCCCATGAGGTGGCGGGGAAGATGGCTCAGAATCAGAGAAGAATTGCTAGTTCCTTGCCTGGCTAACTGTAAAATTAGTCAATCAGGGCAAATATATCCTGAACTCCCACCGCTCCTCTTGAAACCTGCAGACTGAGGACATCAGCATGTATCACCTTGTAAGCCAAATGTTCAATCTCTGAATGTTGCTATGTTCAACAAGCATAGTTTCACAGAACAACAGCAAAAAATAAAATAAAGAAATTTCACTCTTGATTCACATCTCTTGTAGGAACTGCTGAGTCCTCTTTTCTCCTGGGCCCGGTTTTCTCCCTGGAGACAGTCCCTGTAAAACCTATTTGTCTGTATCCATGGTCCCGTATCTCCACCTACAGACTTTCACCCTTCTTTCTTTCTCTGTCTTTCTTGCTTTCTTTTTTTTTTTTTTTTTTTTTTTTTTTTTTTGAG